CAGGTGGCGCCCCGGTTCTGTAAACCAGCTGGGCGGTGGCGCCTCTGCCCTGGGCTGGGAGGCTGTGCCCAGGCTGCCTCCCCAAACGGGGCCCCTCGAATACGCGGAGACCTCAGACAATGGACCTTGCACAGGCTCCCTCGCCAGGGAGCCTCACTCCCTGCACAAGAGGGACCCGCATCACAGGGCAGGAGCTTCTGGCTGCCCCAGGACCAGGGGCAGAAGCTGGAGGTGACAACAGGGACAGAACCAAGGAAGGAGAGAGGAGAAACCGGCTGCAGGGAGGATGAGCGTGCAGTGCATACTCCAGACTCAGGAAACGAGTGACAGTGCCCGTGGGGGGATGTGGCGCCCAGGCTCGTGCACAGCGTCTGGGGAACCCGAAGATGCACCCTCTGGCCCAGCTGGGCCCGTTTCAGAAAATAATATCCCAGCCCAAGGACTGGGACAGATGGGTGGCAGGGACAGACAGGGAGACTTGGAGGTGAGAAAACAGGGCACTGTTTCTATAAGGTCATCCCTACGAAGCAGCTGCACACACAGAGCACACTGAGATAGGGTCAGAGGCTCCAGCTTCACATGGGGCCGTGGCCAGGGCGCTCTGCTCTGTTAAAACCACCACCAGACATACACATCTGGGTGTCAGCTCCTATCACCCGTCCTTGAGATGTTTAAATATTTCACTCAAAGGAAAAGAGCAACAGAGGGATCTGAGGAGAGTGGTGGCCCCAGCCAGGACCTGCCTGGCCAGCAGCCCCAGCCCCACTCACTGCTCATTCCACCCCCTAGAGCCCCACCCTGTCCCACCCATAGCCTCATCCTCAGCCCAGCCCTGCCCACTTCCCCACAAAACCCCGAAACCCCAGGGCAGCGCACCTCGCCCACGGTGGGCTCCTGCTCGCCCAGGCCCACAATGAGGATGCAGTCGGCCTGCCGGATGCAGCGCTGGGTCCAGGGCGTGAGCGTGCTGTCTGCCTGGTAGAGCACGATCCGGTGTATGTCCTCCTGCTGCCCCAACCAGCTGGACAGCCGGTACTCGTGGATACTGGAAAGCATTGATGTGGGAAGCACAGACATGGGGGGTGCAGACATGGGGGGCAGACCCCAGGGTGCACATAGACACAGGGCCCGTTTCAAGGCTGTGCCTAGGCCTGTGGAGGGCAGGGGCCGGGCTGTGTCCCAGGTGGAGGCTGTATACCTATCCAGGGCGGCAGAGCCGAGGCGCTGTTTTATATTGTCGCTGGTCAGCAGCAGGACAGGGCCTGAAAAACAGAGCCACGGGTTAAGGGAAACTGCCCCGGCAGCCCACCGCTGAGGACAGGGAGGCCCGTCCACAGGAGCAGCCACAGGGCAGCAGACAGGAGCACCGGCCCCAGGTATGCTCCTCCTGAAAGCCAGGAGAAGCCTTGCACCTTTCAGTAAGGAAGTGCCTGTGGCCGAGGAGGGCCCCTGGGCAGGCAAGTCCGCATGGTGAGAGGTGGGTGCTGAGTCCCTGGAGCTGGGAGGGCTGCACCAGCCCAGGGGCTCACCAGGTACAGGGACAGGGGGCCTCTCTGAACCTCAGTCTCCTCATCTGCACACAAAGGAGTTGAAGCTCTGCAGCACTGAGACTGTGTGTTGGGGGCAGGGGAAGCATAGCTTGTAAAACGCAAGATAATATAATTCCCAAATCGAGACCAGCGAGGCTGGCTGGATCCCAGTGTGGTGCAGCTCACAGGGTTGAGGTGCGTGACTTCACACATCTGTGTCTGAAATCAGCAAGCGCCTTCCATCTGCGGCATCTTAGAGCCACAGACAAAGTTGTCAGGGCCTGATCAACCAGCAAGGTGGGTGACAGAATCCAGGGAAGGGCTGCGGGGGCTCGGGACAGAAGTCAGGACAGAAGCCGAGACAGGGCACCGTCTGAGGGCTGCCCAGGACCAGCCCCAGGCCCCGGGCTGAGGGGACCCCGAGTCTGGTGTCGCAGCAGGAGCGACGGACGCTGGGGGCTTCCTTCTCATCCTGCACTAACGTCAGAGCTCTCCCGAGGGTGTCTGCAAAGGCCTGCCTCCGAGGGGCCCTGGAGACACACAGCGCTGACTCCAATGGCAGAAGCCTGCAGTGGGGGTGGAGGGGGCCTAACATACGGTGACAGAAGGTGATTTAACTTTGGGTGGTGGGCACACAGTGTAATATACAGACCTCGTAATATAGAAACCCCAATAAATTTAATAAAAAGTAAATTATAAAAAAGAAAGAAGCCTGTTGCTGTGGGAAAGCACCTCCTGGTGGGTGGGGCAGGGCGCTGTGCTAACCGCCATGGCGGANGGTGGGGCAGGGCGCTGTGCTAACTGCCATGGCAGACACTCACAACTGTACACAGACGCACAACGTGTTAGCAATAAGAACACATCCTGACTTGGGGATTCTCGGGAATTTTGCTTCTTGCTTCTGAGCCCTAATGTTTTAATAGCTTTCAGGAATTTGGAAACGCTACCGAAGCTTCCCGGCCCCAGCCAAGGGCGTTTGATGCTGCTAGCTGTACCCCAGCCCCTGCAGTGTGCTCGGCGTGAGGTGGAGGTGGGGGGTTGTCTGCCCCCAGGCTCCTGGAGGAGCTGCCCGCCATGTGACTGATGCCAACCCTATGGAGGGATGGGCTGCTGCCCGCGTGCAGTCCCCTCCGCAGCTCCCCCAGGGCTCGGCCTCAAAGGCGCCACCACCTGCAGGTGCAGAAGAACCTGGGAGGGCCCAGGCGGGAGGAGGGTCTGGCCAGACCCCAGCCAAGAGCCAGGCTTACCGATGGCGCTGAGGGCATGCCGGAGCTCCAGGGCAAAGGCGGTGAGGGGCACGTCTTCCGACACGGGCATGATGGCCACCGTGGACAGGTTGCTGGCAGGATTCCCCGAGTCCCACTTGCTGCCGGTAGAGTGGAGCCCAAACTGGTGACCTGGAAGCACAGGGTCACGGGTGGGCCTGAGGGGTCAGCACCTCTGTGAGGACACCGTGGCACAAGCAGCCAGGACGAGAGTCGGGAACCAGGGCTCCCCCTCCCCTGCCCTGCGTGCTGCCCCTCCTGCCAAAACGCCCTCTGGGTGGGCTGGAGAGCGGGATCACAATGAGGAAACAGCCAATGACCCTGAAGACAGATCGGAAGAAACTGGTCCCCGTGAACAGCGGGGGGAGAGGTGAAGATGGGCGATGCCCGGAGCCTCTGGGACACCAGCAAGGGTCTGACGCTGTCACTGGGATTCCAGGGGAGCAGAGCGCGCAGGGCCAAAGAATATTGGAAGAAAAAAGGCCGAAAACCCCTCAAATTGGGGAAACATACAAACCCACAGATTCAAGATACAAGTCTAGGAAGACGGGCAAACTCCCAACAGGATAAATCCAAAGAAATCAACACCCAGAGGCTCCAAAATCAAATTTCTAAAAAGGCTCTGACCATAGGCAGAGCAGCGATGCCCCGTCCGCCTGCAGGAGGGTCCCCGTCAGCAGCTCTGGAGCTGGGAAGGCAGGGGCACCTGTACAGAACCGCAGGAAATGTCTCCAGGACAAAGGGGAGGCACAGGTGGGGAAGCTGGGCGAAGGCAGGTGACCTTGTGGCCAGCAGGCCTGCTCTTCAACAGCCACTAAGAGCAGAGCTGCGTCAGAGAGGAGGCTGCTGAGGACGAGCCTGGGGCCCAGGTGAGGGGACAGTGGCGGACGTCAGGCACTCGTCCCCGAGCTTTCAACACCCTTGACGGGTAAAAGCAAAAGGCCTAACACTGCGCAAGGGCTTTGCAACGCACACAGAGGTCACTTCTTTTTTAACCCTCACCTGATATGTTTTTTAAAACCGACTTGAGAGAGAGGGAGAGGGTGAGACAAACATCAACGTGAGAAACATGGCTCGGCTGCCTCCCATACATACCTGACGGGGGACTGAACACACAACCCAGGTATTTGCCCTAAATGGGAATCAAACCCATGACCTTTCAGTGCACAGGACGACACTCCACCGAGCCCCTAGCCAGGGCCGCAGAGGTGACACGTAACAGCCACACCTAAGGACGTGACCAAGCAGCGACAAGTGTCCACCCTGCACCAAAGTGACACGATGTTGGCGTGAGAGACAGGACAGGTTGGGTATGGGCACTGTGGTCTGGGGAGCAAGTACTGGAAGTGCCCCGTGAAGAGAAATCACCGCAGGTTAGCAAAGACGGAACATCAGAAAGTCTCAAGTAACCGAAAAGAGGAGAGTGGAATTAGACTAAAAAAGAGGGGGAACAGAAAGGAAGTAAAAAAGTGACAGACGTGACTCCTAACATATGAATAATTACATCAAACGTAAGTGGGCTAAACACAAATAAAAAGACACAGATTGTCAGAAGGAAACAGCCCAAGTCTGTGCCTCCTACAAGAAACTCGCTTCAGACACAACCGTACAGGCTGGTTAAGAGTGAAACGAAACAGACACACCGTGAGTTGAACAGCATCTCCCAGAACCTCAGCATCTCCCAGAACCTCAGAATGGGGCCTCACTTGGAGAGAGGCTCTTTGCGGGTGTAACTGCCCGGGATGAGTCCCTCTAGCGAGGTTGACACCTGCCACCCCCTGCCGCCTCCAGGGGCACGTCTGCGCAGCCCTCCACTCGTCCCCCCCACATTCGATACTGTGCCAGGGTCTCCACGGTGCGAGTGCAGACAGAGCCCTGCCCTCCTGCAGCTCACATGCTGGTGCAGGACACGGTCAACCACCACTGACTACAGACACGGGACGTCGAGCGGCTGTCGGGTGGTGACAAGTGCAGAGGAGAAACTTGAAGCCAACAAGGGGAACCGAGGAGCTG